GCCAGTTGAGTAGCCCTGCTATAAACTATATATACATTCGACAGGAATGTCAGTAGCCCACATAGCTGTTGGCACCATTCTCGAAACAATCATAACAACACTGCCGGGATAATACCTAGGCGAATTCCACAATCTGCGTTTTCTGCAAATAACTCCAAGGCAACGTATTAAATTGTCTTAGTTAGTTAACATTAGCTCTGTCTTGCAAGCATTACTACGTGCAAAACGTGTTCTTTTTTGAATTTTGATTAACCCCAAAGGATAATTATAAACCCATTGAGTCATGAAATTCAATTTTATTTTCTACATGTTTTTTTTTTTAAATAAAAAAAAACACAATAAAACACAACTCAGTTAAGATTTGCAAATATTCATGACAACAAGTTGAAAACGTTTTGCATCTTAATCATAGTTTTACCAAGACCAGAAAAATATATTCTTCGTGTTTGACATCAACTCTACATAACGGAAATTTTGCAATGTATGAAACGATGTGTGAGATATATCAAGAGGAGAAATTAAGCCTAAAACGTCTGTAATATACTCTTCCAGTCGCTCAGTATTAGGAATATGGAAATCTGGTTTACACAAGCATTTATTTCGAACAATGTTAAATAAGCGTGAATACCCAACAGTGTTTTTCGAAATAGTTTTCGGATGCCAAATATTACCGCAGAGGCAGCAATGCCGCGGAGAGCACAAAATACAGATAAAACAGTGGATCGCATGAGAATTGCCGTGAGAGATCTTCTGGGTTGACTTTTCTTCGTTTGCACCACTTCTTTATTTTTTTCACCAAGTTCTTCAGTTATTTCTGTGGCTACAGTACTCGGCGAATCTCCGGTAATTTGCTTCGACACAACACTTTTAGAAACTGATTCCAGGGGCACAGAACATTTTTGTATAGACTTATTTGTTTGAATCTGCTTGTATATTGGATATGAAAATAATAGGACAAGTACAGCGTGGCTGATGATTGTCACCACCAATTTGCCTAAATGCAATATTTGACCTAATTTTACATTTACCATCTCTTTACAGCAAAGTTGCGATGCCTTTGTACTGATAGGTGCAATGTAGTGAATCAATCCTACAGCATTGGATAGAAAAATAAGTCATATTGAGATATACTGTAGCTTCCGAAACCAGCCTTGTATGAGTTCTTTGTAGATCGGGCGATTGTACAACAACCATTGTCGCCAGTCGCCACCATAAAAGTGCATAAACACCAAACTGATTTATATTATATAAACCTTTGAAAATGAACAATCCAATATCGCAGACCAAGTCGTTGGTTTGATAAACAAATGATGCTATAATTGTTTGCAATGCAGCTGACCGAGGTAATGAGGTAGCGATAACAAAAAATATCATGGTATATATGCTTCCATTCTTCTGATTAGTTCTCATCATGCAGGAAAACTTTTTGTGTTTCAACCCGTAGTGCATAAGCGAAATTGTGATTCAAATTGAGGGCAATAAACACAGAGAAAAGACCGATTCCGTAATTATCCAGTTTCGTTTGTGTGATTCTGAAAGAAGTCCAGTTTCTGTGCCGTTTGTAAAATTTTTCATTTTATACCAATTTGACTTATTATTTTAAAGTGTTTTAATGTTTGAATTACTATAATATGGAAATAAAGAAAAAACATCTATCCGATTGTACGAGTAGTTTTGTTCAAAAATGAGTACTTAACGATATTATAGTTTTCAATGCTACTCACATAGCCCAATTAGCCTACTGGTGGATAAAACATTAGTGATGAATAAAATTATCATTAAATTCGTTGTTGCTTTGATAATTTACAATTTCCTCTAAGCGCGATTCTTTGCTCGCTTGGATAGGTTAGAATAGGATAGGATCACACTGCAAAAGTCATTGTGGGAACGTTTTTCAGTCGAGCCACGCGATATTCGACACTTCATTTTTGAATCTTGGCGCGGCGGAACTTACATTTGTTACCTAATAATATGCTATTTCGGGCTTGCCCAGGCTCAAATACTGCATGTGTATATCGTATTTTGCGCATGGACAGTACTGTAATCTTTCTGTTTTAATTCACACAACATTTGGTCTGGGTTTCAAAGCTGTATATACCTTTTTTAGTTTTGATTTGAGTTGGTGCATTATGTCCATTCTTAGGTTCGGCTGTTGGAACTAATGCGAAGATGCGATTTGAAGAATAAAAACAACATTTTTAGACGGAAACCTATATAAACCTCATATTAAAAGTAGTATTTGACACATTGGGCATTGGCAACACCTTGGGCAAACCTCCTCGAGTGTATCACGCGAAATCTGGTAAACAGCTTGTACTCAATGAATATATATATATATAAAAAGAGATAGATAAATGCTCAAATCAATCGAATCATCAATTCATTTTATTTTTTGTTGATTGTTACATCATATATATGTATTTATATTGAAATACCTATATTTAAATGAAGTTTATTGTAATTAAGACTTCGGGGAAAACTACGTCGAGTCCAATCGGGGTTTAACTAAAATTTTGTTTTATAGAACAAATATCATTTTTGATTTTGATTGAAGTTTTTTGATTCCCGTTTTTTAAATTTATATTAGCTTCACATTCATCTCTATTGCAATAAATTGAGTTTCATTGTAGCTATGGTACATTAAAATAAGACTGATTGCTTTTCTACATTGCGGTCGAAATGATAATGCAAGATCCTAATCATAATGTGATAAAGTAATCTGGCCATGTTTTACTTTTTTTCAAGGACGCAAATTATGATTGGTTATATTTAGGTAAAAGTGACCAATCGACACAATCAGTTATGACCTCTTTAGACAAGCAAAGCCTGATTTGTTTGCGTCGAAGAATTTTTTTTAAACGCAAACATCTAGCAAAACACGCAATAAAAGTAAATCATTTAATACTATATCGCAGACCAGAAATCTATTTGGTGTTACATAAATTTATGCATATCTATATTCGAAGTGATAAAATGTTTCCAAATGACAGGGGGCATTGGGAACAATAATATTATAATCTTTTGTATATTTCTCACGATTACAATTATGTTTCAAATATTAATCTATATATACAATCAAACATCCGCAATTACATCCATTGTTTTAGGTTGTTGACATTAAATACACATAATTTTATCAAGCGATCGCAATATAGTATTCTTCATATTAAATTATCCCATAATGAGTAAGTATTGATATTTATGTAACATACGATTAAAAATATCGGACTGAATTCAACTTGCGGTAATAATTTACTCATGATGATATTAGTGTGAGTTTTGCAATGAAAACAAAACAGCGACATAAAAAATTCATTGCTAATACAGTATATTGGATATTCGGTGCACCCGAAGTATGCGAACCAAGATGGCGGACATCGGAACGTAACAGGTTAGGGTTAGGCGATAATTTTTTTCCAATTTTTCCTTATTTTAGTCCTATTATCAGTTCGAAGACTAGCCAAGAGCCTCCCGTAGTATTTATACCTAAAATTATGGCCTAACCCTAACCTAGTACACATATTACATTCCGATGTCCGCCATCTTGGTTCGCATACTTCGGGAGCCCCAGATATTCATTACCCAAATTCAAAGCCATATTTATTCGAACTGCTGTTCCTCGATGCTTGATTAACCTTGAAATTATGCTAAATAGAATGAATTCTAACAATTTTATTGTTCCTATTGGAATTGTGGCTAAAATTTTACTTTGTATGATTCTATTTCCCTTCCCAACTACAGCTTTGATTTAAAATCTGCAAGTAAACCGACACAAATCGATATTGTTTTTTTTTGCGATGTGCCATTTTACATAAATGAATATATTAATTATTTTTACAGATTATTACTTCACAATCAATCAAATGTCTTCATATGCATTTGTTTCAACAAAAGAAAGACTGGTATGGGATTAGAGTCAAATTATAATTTTTCCAAACCAGAAGTTGCTTGTGCCAGTTTATAATTTGATTATATAATCATATATTTATATATATATATATATATATATGTAGACTATATATAAATTAGGAAGATATAAAAAGTCAGCTTACCTTACGACACATATAATTTAAAAAAGGAAGGCTCGTATGTGATTACAGTCGAATTATAATTTTTCCAAATACAAACATAAGCCATACAATACAAGACAAATAATCTACTATTCTGAATGCATTCTAAAATAATGTTTTCGAATATTGAAAGCGCGATGTTCATTGAAATAGAGGTGAATTTCAGGTAGGAACTCTTTAAAAATTCGATATTTGAACTACATTATTCTAGACTAGACTAAAACTGAAAGAGAACAAGAGGATTTTACTTCACACACAATGTCCAAAGCAAAAAATTCCTCAAACTTGTCACATGGCCAAATTGTTTTTCCAAATTGCAAGTGAGGACACAGTTCGGCTCACAGGATGATAAAAGAAAATTAACCAAAAAACAAGGGCTTCTTGGGCCTTGAAAAAGCTTTTGATACTGCCAAACTAACTACCAAATTTTATCAGGAAAATCACTCCATTATGGCTTCCGAGGAAAACATATAAATCGCATCGCACGATATTCACACGGACGCCGGAAAAATACGCAGCAAATTTTTGAAATCGGACGCATCGAATGCCGAGTTCCACAGGCCTCCGCGATTGACCCGCTACTCTTTTCTTTATATAACTGTATATAAAAATGATCTACCATCTGTATCTGCTATTATTTGCAGATGATACCTCTTCTCTGGAAGTAACTCCCCGTGTTATAACTACAGTGAATTTTGATCCCCAGATGGTTGACAATTCTCTGAATAAAAATAAGCAATGGCTTGAACACAGCAACAAAGTTTTTACGCTGACCAAATCTGCAAAATAGTTTTTAGTTTTGTACTATGTCGTCAGTTGTACCGCCATCATGAAGTCTTACAGCTGTCGGAAGTTAATATGGCCTGGTTCCTCCTCTGTTTTAGGGCAGTTTTTAATGACTCCCCCTACGAATAATCGGAGCATTTCGACGATTACAAATATATATTCTGGTAAGACAAGTTTATTGACTACATATGCAAACACATACAAGAATACATACATATGCAAATGACTACATATGCAAACACATACAAGAATAAATGCATACATGAACCTGCCATGCAAGCTATAAGAATAAGACCACATTTAATCAAAGTGGCAGCACAATTTTCCAATGAGTGAAACGATGTGTGAGATATATGAAGAAGAGAAATTAAGCCCAAAACGTCTGTAATATACCCTTCCAGTCGCTCAGTATTAGGAATATGGAAATCTGGTTTACACAAGCATTTATTTCGAACACTGTTAAATAAACGTGAATACCCAACAGTGCATTTCGAAATAGTTTTCGGATGCCAAATATTATCGCAAAGGCAGCGATGTCGCTGAGAGCACAAAATACAGATAAAACAGTAGATCGTATGAGAACTGCTGTGAGAGATCTTCTGGGTTGACTTTTCCTCGTTTGCGCTACTTCATTATTTTTTTCACCAAGTTCCTCAGTTTTTTCAGCGGCTAAAGTACTCGGCGAATCTCCGGTAATTTGCCTCGACACAACACTTTTAGAAACTGATTCCAGGGGCACAGAACATTTTCGTATAGACTTATTTGTTTGAATCTGCTTGTATATTGGATATGAAAATAATAGGACAAGTACAGTGTGGCTGATGACCGTCACCACCAATTTGCCTAAATGCAATATTTGACCTAATTTTACATTCACCATCTCTTTACAGCCAAGTTGGGATGCCTTTGTACTGATAGGTGCAATGTGGTGAATCAATCCTACAGCGTTGGATAGAAAGATAAGGCATATTGAGATATACTGTAGTTTCCGAAACCAGCCTTGTATAAGTTCTTTGTAGATCGGGCGATTGTACAACAACCATTGTCGCCACCATAAAAGTGCATAAACACCAAACTGATTTATATTATATAACCCTTTGAAACTGAACAATCCAATATTGCAGACCAAGTCGTTGGTTTGATAAACAAATGATGCTATAATTGTTTGCAATGCAGCTGACCGCGGTAGTGAGGTAGCGATAACAAAAAATATCATGGTATATATGCTTCCATTCTTCTGATTAGTTCTCATCATGCAGAAAAACTTTTTGTGTTTCAACCCGTAGTGTATAAGCGAAATTGTGATCCAAATTGAGGACAATAAACACAGAGAAAAGACCGATTCCGTAATTATCCAGTTTCGTTTGTGTGATTCTGAAAGAAGTCCAGTTTCTGTGCCGTTTGTAAAATTTTTCATTTTATACCAATTTGACTTAATATTTTAAAGTGCTTTAATGTTTGAATTACTATAATATGGAAATAAAGAAGAAAAATCTATCCAATTGTACGAGTAGTTTTGTTCAAAGATGAGAACTTACCGATATTGTAGTTTTCAATGCTACTCACATATCCCAATTAGCCTACTGGTAAATAAAAAATTAGTGATAAATAAGATTATTATTTAATTCGTTGTTGCCTTGATGAGTTAGTATAGCTTATATCGATATTTTGTTATTTTTCTCAAAGGATAAAGGCATTGTTAGTGTGAAAACTGTTCAATTAATTGAAATAAGTATGTTTTGTTTTTAAAGTTAAATGGGTAGAGTTCTTCAAATTTAGACTAATTCCCATAAGGCTTGAGGCCCGTAGGCTTTAGCCTACCTTGGCTAATGGTAAATACGACCTCGGCGCCCACAAATCCGGCATCGCATCACGGTTTTGGCATAGTTCTACCACGGTTAAACGAATTTATTGATGTTGGTGACACTAAGTGCTCTATAACCTCTTTTTTATTTCAACCTTGAGTGAGAAAGAAGACGATGTATACCAGGGTGGCCAACCTGATTTCGACCGCGATCGACTTATAGCTTTGAAATAGCTCGCGATCGACTAATTGGTAATAAGGGCTTACACAAAAAGGAATGAGTACTGAATATGCAGATAACCACACACTCGCATACAAAAAATCCCGGAGCGCCAGAAGTATGTGCACCAAGATGGCGCACATACTAAATATAGTCAGTGTACCAGGATAGGGTACAGGTTGTGCGATATCTGGGTGCACATACTTCGGGAGCGCCAAAATTCCACCGCTGCCAATAAGCTTGGATTTGTGGACGCATGAAATCAACCCATATTTTTTTTTCATGTTCCATAAAAGTTGTTAATTTGATTATGGAATTGTACCCGAGATAAATATTTCATCATTTATTCAAATCACACAATTCAGATATGATGCCTGCCTAGATTTCATTCGTAAGCGTTGAAAATTCTTCAATAAACTATGCCAAGTATTCATGTATTATATAAAGTCTAAACAGTTAAAAATGAAAATTCTCAAACCATAAATGTTACATGACTGCTCAAACTTCAGTATCCAATTTACAATTTCCTTTAAGTGCGATTCTTTGCTCGCTTGGATTTAGAAAAAATGGGCATTATGATGCCACTGCTAATATTGCTAATAAAATATATCACTACTCTCGGAGTCAGACAATAACTTTCGCATACTGCAAAATTCGTTTTCCAGTCGATCCACGCGATATTCGGCACATCATTTTTTAACCTTGGCACGACGAAACTTACATTAGTTACCCAATAATACGCTATTTCGGGCTTGCCCTGGCTCAAATACTGTATGTGTATATCGTATTTTGCGCATGGACAGTACTGTAATCTTTCTGTTTTAAAACACACGACATTTGATCCGGGTTTCAAAGCTGTATATATATATATATACCTGTTTTAGTTTTGATTTGAGGTGGTGCTGCATTATTTCCATTCTTAAGTACGGCTGTTGGAACTAATGCGAAGATGCGATTTGAAGAATAAAAACAACATTTTTAGACTGAAGTCTATATAAACCCCATATTAAAAGTAGTATTTAACACATTGGACAAACATCCTCGGGTGTATCACGCGAAATCTGGTAAACAGCTTGTACTCAATGAATATATATATAAAAAAGGAGATAGATAAATGATTAGATAAATGCTTAAATCAATCGAGTCATCAATTTATTTTATTTTATGTTGATTATTCCATCATATGTATGTATTTATATTGAAAGACCTTTAATTACCGGTAAATGAAGTTTATTGTAATTAAGACTTCGGGGAAAACTACGTCCAGTCCAATCGGGGTTTAACTAAAATTTTATTTTATTTAACAAATATCATCAGTTTTCTTGATTCCCGTTTTTTTAAATTTATATTAGCTTCACATTCATCTCTATTGCAATAAATTTAGTTTCATTGCAGCTATATTAACATTAAAATAAGACTGATTTCTTACCTACATTGCGGTCGAAATGATAATGCAAGAGCCTAATCATAATGTGATAGAATAATTGGTCTTTATGTAATATTTAATCTATTATATACTACAACAGCGGTTCCTAAATTTTTTGTTCGAGCGTTTGATGTGGACGACGGGCGCATCAGGTTGGTCTGAGGTTTCGCAGATTCGAATAGTGTCCGAATATTTAGATCTTCGTTATTACTTATCGATCTTGATCGGTAAGTATGTTGATAGGTATTTGTCTGTCTGTATGTCTGTGTGTTAGATGCACGCGATATCTCACGAAAGCGAGGTTCAATCTGCTCCAAATTTTGCATGTGCATTCATCTTAGCTCGGATCAGAAGCCTATTGATTTTGGATGGTTTATGTCGTATAATTAGCGAGTTATTAATTAATTAGTGATGGACACACGATGTCACTATAGAACAGGGGTCACCAAACTACGGCCCGCGGGCCGGATCCGGCCCGCGACGTCATTTTATCCGGCCCGCGGCGTCATTTTATCCGGTCCGCAATAACACACAAAAATGGCTAAATTTTTTTCCAAGGAAGATTTTCACGAGCATCGTCGTCTTTGTTTATATCGTAACATTGCCCAATCGCAAGATGCAAAAAAGTGACGTAATAATAGGCCTTTCCGCATCCGCTCAGACACTTTTGTCACCCTGACAGATTTTCAGTCATGGTTGTAAACAAAACTTCGTTTTTGCGACTTTGAATGCTACCAGTACGTAACGTTTTCTGCGATACACTTGTACACTCGTGGCGCGTGCTTTCGACGAAACTGTATGTTTTTTTTGTGCTAAAATAAACGTCGAATGTGCATTTTGTGCTAACAGTACTGTAATCCCTCGCGCACTGCTCCAATTTCAAAAGCCACACTAACTTTTGTACTGCTTTAATGCGGATATTCATGTAGGTATATGTTACAAAAAAATTGATGTTCATCCGATTTAAATAAAAACTATTCCAGTGGAAAGATCTGAGTAAAAATAGGAAACAATACCAAGTTTATAATAAACGGTCAAGAAATAACGAAGATATCGGAATTTTAGTACCGCCCGACAGGCCAATTTTTTCCATAATGATTGTATTACTTTTTTGATAAGAACTGAACTAAATATGGAAAAATAACACATATCAATCACTAATCTTTCGATGTGCGTCACATCTATAGTAAATTGAGACTATTTCAGGATTTTATTCTGACAACGGTCATTGACACCGCCGAAAGATCGTCGCAAATAAACGCTGCAGTTGTGCATGATAGTTTGACAGTGGTTCATTGTGGGTAATAATTAACGGTGTTCTGATTGTAGATAGACAATATCATTAATTTGAACTACGTATAACTGGAGCGTAATTTTTAAAAGCGTCGAATGTTGGCAAATTTATGCGCAAATGAAAAAAATCAAATATCAGATAATAGTTGTTTATTTTATCTAAATTATGTCAAAATTTCATAGAATTCCAAGCTACAGCAGTTAGTCGTTTTTATGAGCGGTATTTCAACACGGCGTAACGGTACCCAGCAGACGCGATGCCCACATTTTTTGCCGCGGATTTTGTAACATTTCTAATTCATGACAGCAACGTTTTGATAACAGCTAAACTCAGGATAGTTGTCTAGATATAGGAATCTTGTTAATTTTTTTCATAGGATGTTCTCGATCTATATTCTGCGATATTCCCAACATTTGTGAATTTATTGTATTGCATTGACAAAAATATTCATCCGGCCCGTTTCAACACAATTTGAGTCATACCCGGCCCGCGGTCAAAAAAGTTTGGTAACCATAGTATAGAATAAGACCACTGTTTTGGGGGATCCCCTAACCTTCGATAGATAAGTCTTCGGTTCCCAACCGAATTCTAGTTTTGGTATTAACGAAAAACAGAATTAAAATATTGACGTGACAATTGAACGTTTAGCAGTATATTATGCACAATTAGCAATCTGACAAAAGAGAGATGAGTATATCGTTTTGGTACGGATTGGTTCCCATGTTCGAGTTTTTATCGACATAAGACATATTACAAAGAACTGCAGTAACTTTTAAACTGTTTTACTTTTGTTCAAGGACGCAAATTATGATTGCAAAATCGATTGGTTATATAGGCGAAAGTGACCAATCGACACAATCAGTTATGACCTCTTTCGGCAAGCAAAGCCTGATTTGTTCTCGTCGGAGAATTTTTTTTAAACGCAAACATCTAGCAAAACACGTAGTAAAAGTAAATCATTTACTACTATATCGCAGAACAGAAATCTATTTGGTGTTACATAAATTTATGCATATCTATATTGAAAGCGATAAAATGTTCTCAAATGACAGGGGGCATTGGGAACAATAATATTATAATCTTTTGCATATTCCTTACGATAACAATTATATTTCAAATATTAATCTATATATACAATCAAACATACGCAATTACATCCATTGTTTTGGGTTGTTGACATTAAATACACATACTTTTATCAAGCGATCGCAATATAGTATTTTTCATATCAAATTATCCACTCCATTAAATTATCCCATAATAAGCAAGTATTGATATTTATGTAACATACGATTAAAAATATCGGACTGAATTCAACTTGCGGTAATAATTTACTCATGATGGTAGTGTGAGTTTTGCGATGAAAACAAAACAGCGACATCAAAAATTCATTGCTAATACAGTATATTGGATTTTCATTACCCAAATTCGAAGCCATATTCATTTGAACTGCCGTTCCTCGGGGCTTGATTAACCTTGAAATTATGCTAAATAGAATGAATTCTAACAATTTTATTGTTCCTATTTGATTTGCGGCTAAAATTTTGCTTTGTATGATCCTATTTCCCTTCCAAACTACAGCTTTGATTTATAATCTGCAAGTAAACCGACACAAATCGATGTTTTTTTGCGATGTGCAATTTTACATGAATGAATATAATAATTATTTTTACAGATTATTACTTCACAATCAATCAAAGATCTTTATATTCCTTTGTTTCAACAAAAGAAAGGCTGGTATGTGATTAGAGTCAAATTATAATTTTTCCAAAACAGAAGTTGCATGTGACAGTTTATAATTTGATTATATAATCATATATATATTAGGAAGATATAAAAGTCAGATTACCTTACGACACATATAATTTAAAAAGGAAGGCTCGTATGTGATTACAGTCGAATTATAATTTTTTCAAATACAAACATAAGCCATATAATACAAGACAAATAATCTAATATTCTGAATGCATTCTAAAATAATGTTTTCGAATATTGAAAGCGCGATGTTCAATAAAATAGAGGTGAATTTAAGGTAGGAACTCATTCAAAAATTCGATATTTGAACTACATTATTCTAGACTAGACTAAAGCTGAAAGAGAACGAGGGAATTTTACTTCACACACAATGTCCAAAACAAAATTCCTCAAACTTGTCACATGGCCAAATTGCAAGTGAGGACACAGTTCGGCTCAAAGGATGATAGAAATTACCCAAAAAACAAGAGCTTCTTGGGCCTTGAAAAAGCTTTTGATACTGCCAAACTAACTACTAAGTTTTATTAGGAAATTCACTCCAATATGGCTTCCGAGGAAAACATATAAATCGCATCGCTCGATATTCACACAGACGCCGGCAAAATACGCAGCAAATTTCTGAAATCGGCCACATCGAATGCCGAGTTCCACAGGGCTCCGCGATTGACCCGCTATTATTTTATTTATATATACTGTATGAAAATGATCTAACATCTGGGTCTGCTATTATTTGCAAATGATACCTCTTCTCTAGAAGTAACTCCCCGTGTTATACCTACAGTGAATTTTGAACCCCAGAAGGTTGACAATTGTCGGAATAAAAATAAACAAAGACTTGAACAAAATTCACACAGCAACGAAGTTGTTACGCTGACCAAATTTGCAAAATAGTTTTTATTTTTGTACTATGTCGTTAGTTGTACCGCCATAAGAAGTCTTACAGCTGTCGGAGGTTAAAATGGCCTGGTTCCTCATCTGTTTTAGGGCTGTTTTTATCGACACCACCCCTACGAATAATCGGAGCATCTCGGCGATTAAAATATATATTCTGGTAAGACAAGTTTATTGACTACATATGAAAACACATACAAGAATAAATGAATACATAAACCTGCCATGCAAGCCATAAGAATAAGACTATACCACATTTAATCAATCAAAGAGGCAGCACATTTTTTATGTATATCCCCCAGTTGAATAAAATTTTAGCTCAAAATTTCATTCATACTGTATTTACCACTTTTTCATTCCAACAAAAAGTGAACACACAACCAAATCAGACCAATTTTGTTGCAATTCATGCTAGTATATCTAAATTACAACAAAAGTTATCGCACAGAATGAAATACCTATTACATTCGCTATTAGGCAAGTTAACTCGATAAATTAAGATGCAATTAGTAATATTAATGCCAAAAATTAAGCCAACAAACATTTCTACATGTTAATTTTTTTAATAAAAATATGTTTTAAAAGAGTATCACCAGCGTTATTCAACTTAACATTTTACAGGCGTCATTATGTCTAAAAAAACCTACATATATGTGCAACAGAAATAATCCAATTACAAAAAAAAATTGTTGATCAAAGTATGGCATTAAAATGCATTTGGCAAGCACCAACATCAGAGGACCAGAATTTCTATATACAAAGCATGAACCACGGTTTCAACTATGTTCAAATTCATAGGATAAATTCTGTTCCTATGCATTGTTAGTCATTCAGTGCAAACAAATAGTTAGAAAGCAAAATTCAGTTTCTCAGAGAAACATGTCAGACAATGTTACAATAGGGTTACAGATATGCATGTGGATTATATTTTAATGTTAAAAATAGTTCGATATTTACAAGACATCAGTCTTTAAAAGATAGAATGGAGTCAGAGTACTTAGATTTACTCAGTATTTCAGTGGAGCCGGTCTTCAAATTCCCAAAACTAGGAGTTTAAATAAACCTTCTCAAGTCGGAAACTCATGAATCCAAAGCCAAATTCCAACCGAAACTAACAACAAACATTTAAACCATGAATGATTTTTTTTTCAACCCGAGTTAGTTCTGTAAAAATCGAATTTCAAAAATTAAGAATCAAAGACGAAATTTCATCTAGAACTAACAAAGTTTTTAACCCTGAATTAAGCTTTTTTTGCACAAAGGACTTAGAGACTGAGATTGATATAATGTCTATTGCACTCAGCAGCCCAAATCAGTTACACAAATAATGTTACTGTACATAATATAGGAATGTAGATTCCATTCATATGAGAATGCTATTAGGAATGGATCATTTTGATATTTGGAAATAGAATTTTATATGAATAATTTCATTGGTACACGATTCATTAACAAGCGTAAAACATGATATAATACAAGGGATGAATGATCGGGAATGGTTGCAAGACATGAAACTACAAAGCATACCTATACAAGCCAAATCTTATAAATTATTTTGAATTAAATTGCAGATACAGTGATGTGAATATTATGATAAATTTTTATATTACAGCACAGGTATACGGGATTGACTTGACAATTAGGATGGCCAATACAAATTTCAGAACCAAAAAATAGAGTTTCAGTTGTTGCAATGCAAGTTTTTACAGCCAAAAGCATGAATAAGCTTACTAATACGAAACAAAAATAACATACAAAGTAGCAAAAAAAAACTTCCTGATACGATACTTCATAAAATGTTTTCTCTTTACCATATTGATAGCAGCAACTGTATAAAATTTTGTATACTTAGTCTTATTTTCATTTAACTCTACAAACTATTTTAAACTGATGGAATCATTTGTCTAAAAAGTTTTATATCATGCAATAAAAAGATCATCAATGAATTCGATTTTCTATAAGATATTGGTCCTAATAGCAAGCCTCCTGCTTTGGCCATCCCAATTGACAAGTTAGCCAGGCATACAGCAACATTGACATACTGAAATTAGATCATTTGTTAGGCATGGTTTGATAAATCCTCAACAAAAACTTGATCAAGTAAGAAATATAAAGCGGAACACGGAAAAGTGTTTAAAAAGCGATGGGAGGTGCAACAAAAATGAATTTAGATGTTGACCAAACCTAACTTGAGGATAAAAGCTGGAGCGGTGTTGCAAAGATTCAATATCCCACAATTTACTTACATAAAAATGACTGTACAGAAAAAGGTTCTTCACAGAATAAGAAAATAAAAGATGAAATAGAACGTTTACCAGCACTCATGGACACTGTATAATAGGTTTAAACACACTTTAGCTACTTCGGCTAATTATGAATAAAAGGTACACACAAGGTAAAATGAAATGATAATAACTACTAGAAAGTAAAACCATAGTTTAAAAAACAACTTTATGGCTCTTATTTTCAAAGCTCTTCAAGAAATATCATAATTGGTCATGCAACCTTAATTCTTCTGACAAATGTTTTTTGTACTGAAGAGCAATCTGAATACACAACATAATTTGAAATTTTTCAATTGGTTACCATAGTTCAGGTTATACTAACTGTAATTCTAAATTGAATTGATAATAACCGAATTTGGTGAATTGAAACTTGAAAGTACATCTTTTGAAATCTGGATCAAATTTTGAGGTAATGTTGCTGGAATTAACAAAATTCTGTTTTTTTGTTGTTTGTCAATGCTTGTATCCTTCAGTTCCATTTGTTTTTTGAACACCTGAGCCCGTGTACTTCTTTTCATAGGCAGGCCGCGCTGCACCATAAGGTGTCATACCAGACTGGCTGGCACATTTGTTTGTTCCTGCCTGAGATTGGAAGCAACAACAATGATTATTAATATATTATAGATTGTACAATCACATGTATCTTGTTACTGCTAAGCCCTGATTTTGGATAAAATGTCTCAGTTCGAGTTTACAAGTTAACCAACCAGTGTGATTTGTTGCATATTTCTAACTGTTTTGAAGTGAAATATAAAGTATTATTTTTAATTGAAATGCATATTTTACTTACTTGCAATTCAACCGAGAATTGCAATTCACTTCCCAGCATGGTGGATCTTTTTACAATAGTTTACTTCAATATTGAAGAACATGTACATGGTTAAATCACATACATAATATTGTCATCTACAACCTTATATCATACAGTAAAATTCAAATCACAATATAAATGATAGCTTTATTCAGTATGTAGTAGAAAATACCTGCAAGCCTATGATTCCTTCGCCAGCTCTGAGTTGTTCATTACTCCAATCACGGTTTTGTTTTTCCGCTACATATACACCAATGTCACTTTCTGTTAAACCTTTAGATTTCGCCTAAAAAAATAGATGTTTCAAAGATTTGTGATGGAGTTGGTATGATTCATGTTTAGTAATGCAGACTAGTACCTTTCTAAAAAAGATATACCGGTACCTTTCTAAAAAAGAAATTCATATGAATACATATTGTTTTTCTAACAGAAGCGGTCAGTTCACATCCATATAATGTAGCAGGATACTCGTTTGCCAATGTATATTCTATAAATGAATCATTCCCAAGAGTTTTTTTTTAAAGTCATTGGCCAATAATATTTCACTCAAAGAAGGAACCTAGTACCACAATGAACTCTTGAAATTAGTCTAAAATCAAGTTCCCCATTTCTCCAATGAAAAATCAGGAAAATAGTTTACCTAACTAGTGAATATTTGTATTGGATAAAAAAAAAGATCCACTTTTGTCTATACATAAAAGTTTGTACAAAAAAAACAGCTAACTGCAAGTCTGCAATAGTTCAACATTAATTTTTAAATCAATCAAATCCAGGAATTCTGGTCAGTCAAATAATTGTGTTGCGATAAAGGATGACTATGTAATGCGGAATCCAAAAATAGAATAAGGCACCAACAGGCATGAGGAATTACTTTCACATTACTAATAATAAATTAACTCACCACATCAACCAATGCAAGAAGACACATTTGTACCTGAAAACATAAAATTATTGAGAGATCATTAGGATCGCAACAGGTACTGAAAGCAATCCATATCAAAATGGCCAGTTATATACAAAATTAGACCAAGGAAGCCACACGTCCACACACAAACAGGAAAAGTTAAGAGAGCCTATTAAGGATTGAATTATCTCAAACAGGTTACAAAATTAGGCAATTGATTTGGAAGTAGGTCGCCTGACCCCCCCCGCACAAAAAATGGTCATATGGAATAAATGGGCCGTGACATTTTTTTTCATATACAACTTACCATGGTGAAAGATTGGGAATCCGCATGTTCATACATCGATAATGAACAGCTAATAGGGAGGCAAGTGCATAACCACTGTTGTTTATATTGTTACTTAAATAAAGTTGACAATTCCATTAACATCCTTTGTGTTAAATTATTGGTTTCTAATGCAGTCAAAGTCAAATATACGTAACATGTCAAGATTCAGACAGACATTAATACACAAAAAATCGTTTCTCACAGTTGATCGATATGCGTCTGATACAGAAACTATTACATAATTTGTTTATGATTTTGTGCATTGCCACAAGCTGAACTCAAACTTACTCTACACAACTTGTGTAAAACTGCGAAAACTATTTTCTAGAATCTGAATAGGTTCATTTTTCAACTGTTGACATGCAAACAAATCAATAACAACATCTATCACCATAAAATATTCATACCCTACATTCAAGAAGAATGCTACTATTGATTGTGGTGCAATAGTGCTGACTGATTTGCAAATTACTTCTTATTATTTGCCTCCAACATAATTACTAAGCAAACGTTTCAATCTAAATTAGGCTCTATTGTTGAATTTATATAGACAACAATTTTAGATTAGTCATATTATAATTTTTAACGATGCAAGATTTTTTTAAAATCCTTAGATTAAGTAGGTAAAACCGCTTCAACTACAGAGAGTTTATGGAAGCAGTGATAAATGAAGTGCTAAAGAATGCTAATAAATCAAATTCCATCTCAGGGAACCTGTACTATTAAAAATACTGTGCGAACACCCAAACTAAATATGGATCATCTGCATGATAAAAAAAAGCACTAATACAAGGTTTTAATAACAAATTTACTCTGAAAATAAACTGTACCAAAAGCTTTCATATGGCAATTGTAATATCTCTCATGTTACTCTTCATATGCATGTTCATATTACCAGTCAGATAAAGTTTTATAAAAATAAAAAAACAAGCTACAAAAATTGGATCTTCAATAATTCTTAAATAGGATTTCCTCTCTATCCCTCAAATTATGAATTTTAACATTTCAAAATTGAAGTGGTTTAGAATTTAGATTATTGTCACTCAAGTAATTTACCTGTGACATGTTGCTCTCATCATATAAATCAGCAGTTTGGAAGAGGGATGACATTGTAACTCCAAATTTTGCAGCTGCTTTCAGGAAAGCCTCAATGTTTTCCATCTAAACAAGAATCCCATATCAAAAAAATATTGTTTAGGAAATTAAAATTGACCTGGGGCAGATTGGTGATAGTTTCAGGCAAAGTGAGCCTAATTCAAGTCGTATTTAAAAGGTACCTAACCCTTACCCAATATATCATATATTAAACAGAAAAATCAAAACCATTTAATATATGTAGTTTTAAATGTGACTGGAGGCAGATTGCTAATAGATTAAGCAAATTGAATCTAATCCGAGCCATATTCAGAAGGTATATAACCCTTTACTCAAATTATGATTTATTGAACAGAAAAATTGAAATAGGTGTTTTAATTATCTTATATCAGTTGCTTATAAAAGTGTATATTATCAGATGTTTGTAAGAAGTATTTCAATTCAAAGAGTTGCATTGAAAATTTGAAATGTTCTGAATGCATTATTTTCGTCAAATGATAACATTGAAATTCCTATCATTCTGCAACACAATCTAAACATATTTAATACAAAAATCACTCGTTCAAATGTTACTGATAGTCATTAAAATATTTTATTTGGAATAACACAAATAAGGTAGATATTTAGGGTTTTACAAGGGTCAACAAACTGAACCACAATTGCTGGATATGTGGTAAATTCAGCTATAATTTAAATTTTAGTAACAAAAATAGGAATTCTGTAAGTACCATAAACAGTTGCTGAGACTTTTTAAAAAGCTGTGATTTTTATTATGCGTTCTACTTAGGTATGTATTTTTAATTTTGAAAGGTGGCTCCCAAGAAGGTTTCAAATGAATATTTTACACATTATCAATCTGAGTGATAGCATTGTATACACACGAGGAAGATTTATATTTCAATAATATTCATCATCATAATGTGACAAGATGGTATACAAGATTATAGCAAATTACTGAAATACAACTAGTAATAGGGCTTGAAGAAATATAAGACTAGATACAGTGCTAATAACATCCAGATTTTTTCATACAAATTTTGTTCAAATTCCTTTTTTACTAGCGAAGTCATTTTGCTAAGCGATGAGCATATAAAATAATCTGTGTCATGTACATGAAGTAAATTTCAGAGCATCACACGATATAGTGACGTAATCATGTCGTTTACAGTGCTTTAAACCACAAAACAAATAGTGTTCTAATCCTCTCAATTATGAAGGATTTATGTTCAAATTAGTTTACCATATACAAAATAGGAAACAAAATGCCCTAGAGGTGTTGTGTTTCTAATCCAACCTAGAAGAGAATATCAAAGGAATTATCCTAACAATCGGTGTTCAGTGTTCACTCATGTTGAATTTCATGAAATAATAATAATGGAAATCATATACTTACACAACGAAAAGGATTCAACATTTTTGTATGTGGTAATTTTTTCCCCAATGAACCAGGCTCAAAGTAATCCATTAACCTAGGAGAAGAGCAATGTAAATTTATCCAATACATAAAGACCATGGTCCAGCATAATCAATAAATGAGACAAAACACAAACAGGAAAAGGTGTCTAAACATTACCAGGAAACCGGTGTCATAGCATTCATGCATATGGTATCTTACAAAGGTAAAATTATTGCATAATAAATGTCCAAAATTTGACAATAGTTATTGAAAGAATAAAATCTCCATAAGCATTGAGAAATTCTCAAATTAGATTTATACATAACATACCAATAAAAAACAAAGGCTAATCTTTTGATGATTTTCAGATATACCGAGAAACGATATGAGGCACCCACTAATTGGAACAACAATTATTAACATATCTAGAAATTAGAATGAGAAATTAGAATGAGAAATTAAATGAAAATCAAGTGTCAGAGATGCAGAAGCAGTATAATTGTTTTTTACCAAAGCGAGGTCACTCAGAAGCAAAGGGAGTGATCTCTGCGTGAAAGTATGAGTAAACTACTCAAGTGCAACGGCTACTGGCAATATAAAGAATTATAGCGATGAGATTGTTCATCACAATGGATTCCATTTTTAACAGTATCGTTCTGCTTGTAGGTTTATAACAGGGAGGAAATACTTCCAATTAGCCTATATTAGTACCAACCTCATACAATATACAAACAACTTCCTATTTCATGTATAAAAACACGAATAAGAAATAAAATTCCCATAACATGGAAAGCATTGAACACATATATACATATAACTTACTGTTAATTTACTCAGAGATTTGAAAATTAGAATATTACTAACGTGCAAAGTACAATTCCGTCCTTCAGACATTCTGAAAAACTAAGATCACATGGAAGATCAAGGCCAGTACATTCAGAAATCCAGACTCGAAGATCTTGTTCCAAAGCTACATCGTATTTCGACTTCAGCTACATTATAAAAAACGTACAATGTTTAAAAGATACTCACATTGGGTTATTATTATTGAAAAAATAATAAACATGTTAACGAAATCATATTCAATTATATTTATGAATATTAGGATGCATCTCTGCTCTCACCTTCATTTTGACTTCCCGACTAAAACCATAGCTTGGCCCACGGGCGGCCATTGCCCTCACAAAGTGTTCCACGTACTTATAAATTGATCTCAAATTCAAATGTTCACTACTTCACCAAAAATGATTGAATGAATTTTAATCAACAGACAGAACTTGATCTGTCAATATTAAAATGGAGAATAAGTATAGCTCCTGACAATTAATTAGCATAATCACACTGGAAAACACAATTTTTTTTATTAAATTTAGAAGTAAATATTTATGACAAAAATGGCACGAAAGATATTAATGAAAATAGGCTATAACTCAGTGAAATCATACGAAGTTACGGTACCGGTGCTGTTACAGTGTTACTCATTCTGAACCCAAACAGCAAAAGATAGAATTATTCAACTTCGCCATGCAGACATGGTCAGATGGTAGACCAGGAGTGGGCAACATACGGCCGGCGACGAGATTTTGACCGGCCCGCTGACTGTATCCAACTACACTCTGTAATGTGGTCCGACGCAACATTCTTGAAAGTTGCCAATCGCTCTACTCTCACAGCACTGTCTGACTGTCAGTGCAAGCTGGTGAAATAAACAATTGCCTCAGTGAACAAACAATTGTTAGCACACTTGTTAAACAAACAATATAAGCTCAAAGCAGAGAGGGTTGTAAACATTCCTCACTACTATTATCAGTTATTTTTAAATTCTTAATATAAATAGATTTTAGAAATTAGATTTTATATCAAGTTTTTTTTAACCATGGAATTTCCCAAGAAACGTAAAGTTGACAGAGATTGGATACCGAAGTATTTTTTGTAATGATCCGGCCCGTCGAGGACTTCATCTTCCCACATCTGGCCCGCAGACTGGAGAAGTTCCCACCTCTGTGGTAGACTATAAAATGAAAATATTCCAATACACAAAACCAGGGGTCACCATACTTTTTTTACCATGGATCAGGTAGATATGAATCAAACAAATATTTTTGTCAATGCAATACAATAAATTCTCAAAAATTGGGAAATCCATTCAATTTATCCATACACAAATACCGTAACTGAATTATTCTCACCACTTGGCAACAATACATCAGACAATACTGCAATACTATCAGTTAACCATGATGATACTAAGCACTGACTCATCCGACCAACGTCGTGTCTCGTGTAGTTTCGTACCGTACCTAACGTACCGTACTTCTAGTGGGCGTAGCATAACAATTTTTTGCTATGTCAATCCTAACCCCCATCTGAATACGCCATCCAAAAATACGTCACTACTGCATCACAATTACGTCATAGAGCTTGCCAAATATACGTACGATCAAAGTGACAAAGTGGTTTATATATATAACCTATATAGGGCTGACGGACAACTCGACTACACAGTCAACTCACCAGAGACAACTCGACTACCGAGAGGCCTGGTGAGTTGTCCGTCTTTTCGCATTTTCTACTGCGGTGTTTTAGGTCTATAGAAATGCGTTTTTGATATTTTTAGTGCTCAAATGTTAAGAAAAATACATAAATATTCTCTAGAAAGCATTTTTATTTGTGTAAGTGACTTATTTTTCTCATGTTGTATGGAATCAAATACAGTTTACAGACGAAATTGGAGTAACGTTAGCGAAGTAAGACTGTTGACTTGGCTTAAAGGACTGTGTGCGTTTAAATTTTTTAGGTTTATTGGTATTAAATGTTTTGAATGAGCACCTTTGAGTATAATAAAACCTTTATACATCACATAAACACTTATATATTTATGAATGTGAGCTTAGTAGTCTATGGTCGCAGTAGTCTAAACTCTAAAGTTTAGATGTAGGCTACCGATACCACTTTTGTCGCCGATACCGATCAGATACCAGCTAAAAACGCCGATACCGATACTACAAAAAGGCCGATATTACCGATACTATGTAATTATCACTTAATTAGGAGACGGGTTAAAACAATGGTCTTTGAGCGTTGTTCTAAGTACACATTATTTCAGATAAAAAAAAAGATATATCACATAATATGAAATTAATGTTTGGTGTTTGCTTTAACTGATTAAGATACATTGTACAGTAACGCTAGTAATCTCGGTGTTCAGTTAGAAAACTCATAAGCCGGGATGTCCAATTTGAATTTAATGTTAATATCGCGACCTTCGAATATCGTTATTCGTGTTTGAAAGAATATCGAATATCACCCACACATTCTAGCGCCGCCGCCCTACGTTCAAATTGAAAGCATTTTACAAATATTTTATTTCGTGGCTAATCGAAATCGTCGACGCAATAAGTCGAAGCCAACATGAAAGAATATCAATCAGCACCGACAAAAAGAAGGTCTACCTATAACCGTCGAGGATGTTTTTTTACTTTACTATTTTATAATATTTTACCATTGCTATCATATATTTTGAGACAGTCTAGGGCTAGGCGGTCATGTCAATATATATATCTATAAAGTATTTGTGTAGTTAAACAAAATTAAAATTAATACTTGCGTAGAGGAATAATTGTGTCGGAATTTAGTTTATCGATGTCGACGGACACTCCACTTGACGACAAACAGTCAGAATTTATACCCGTGCCAGAAGTCTATGTGCCGTTGATAAGGACCCCAATTCCCCTGTATGATGTAAAACTGGGCGCCTAGTTGCTTTTTGTTATGTGCTGTGTTAATATGTTTCTTCATTATTACTATGTAATAAATATTAAAAATGTCAATATAAAAATTTGACAACGAGAATAGCCAAATTAGTTGAGCTAGTTTGACTGATAAATAGCTAAAAACACGTGAATCCTATTCTCTCGCGGGGGTGGGGACATGTATGGCTCATAGCTCACGATCTCTCCAGACGAAAAATAAATTAAAAAGTAGTATTCCATTTAATCTTTTAAAACATTCTGGGCCATATCAAAAAGGTAAATATATCGGCCTTAATCTAACCGATACATGGCCGATACCGAAAAAATGGCCGATATTGCCGATACCCGATACATCTCTAGTCTAAATTCGCCTACGGCAGTCAACTCACCTGTCGAGCAACCGCTTTGCGACGTGACGTCATCGGTGCTCGAGGTGGAGACAACTCGACTACAGAGCAACGAGAGGCAGACAACTCACCAGTCGCAATCGCTCTGCGATATCGATGCTCGAGTAGAAGACAACTACAGAGCGATTGCTTTGCAAAACGCATGCTCAAGAGTTCTACTTGTATAGTATTTACTTAGTGCCGACTGATATTAGTTGTAAGCCAACTCACCACGACAAGGTTCTGTCATAGAGTTGGAATTTCTTTATTGCAGAAGAAAACCAGAAACACGTTAACGTTATGGGGAAATTTAATGGATGAAGATTTTGTGTTTTTTTCGTTACGAACAATAAATTTCATTTGAATACTAAACGTCATGGGGAAATTTGTTGCGTCACATACTTACTCTTTGCAATACTGTGGCCCGTGGATTCCTGAACACCTACGAAGAAGAGTCCACAGATAATTCTCCGTCCTTAAACTGTTCCCACTTCCCAGACATATTGTACCCTTTCGTTGGCTTCCGCATACCTGCCGTTGACACGCCTTACATCAATTTCTTCCAAAATCTCCCCAACGTCCGCCTAGCTCCCAAAATTTGGACTGTGACACTAGCTCTGATCTCCAAAAAATTCAATTTTAATAAAATATCTTTTGTGTATGCAAGCCTTCTTTAAGAGATTTTTAATAACAATTTATAAACTTAGTATAGCCTAGTTTTTGAGGAAAATTTCTGTCTTCTTTAATCACCATTAGAAGTCTGCAATTCAGACTCTGGGAAATTAAGAATTTTAACTTTGTTAAACTACGACTCCGGCTTCCACTCCAATGAAAACTCCCGACTTCACAGCTCTGCTTTCAGGACAGAAACCGTTTACCACAATCTATTTTGCATTTCATGGACTTATCTCGATTTTTACAATCAAATTATGATATCACAATATTCTATTGTTAGATACGAAGTGTACATATGAATCGTTTTTCTGAATTGTCGTACTTGTTATAAAAATAAATCACTTTTATCAGAAATTAATAGACTAATTCAATTTCAGTTTTTAAACATGAAGGTACTTTGGTTTTTACCATTATCTCTGAGTTCTATGGAGCTCAATATTCTGCCCTAAAGTTGTTCTACAAATTTGCTGTTGCAGCTCGTCAAACTAGCCTGACATCTTTTTGACAAACCTGGTACAAGCTATTGAGGTTGGATTTAAAACTTTTGAATTATCAGATAGCAGCTTTCAGTCAAAGTAGCATGGCCTACTGTTGTACTGTGTTTTTTAAATTTACCCTCACTGGCAATGATCTCAACAGAATTACCTTATCCTTACCTTTGTAGCGACCTCGGCAGGAGTTGTATAGCTGTCGAAATATATAGGTCGTCCAATATGAGTTGTTAATTTTACTGGAAAACCGCCATACAGTGGACGTAATGGCCATCTTGTGTATTCGTATAATTTTCGATACCATTCTGGAAAGATATGAGATTTCGATATGGAAGATTATCTGGAAAAAACGTCTATAACAGAAAACTCTATACTAATTTGCATTGCTGTGATAGCAAAATATATTTCCCGTATTATTAGAGGAATTTAAAATCATAAAAAATTTAATCAGGTAGGCACTTACTCCTCAAACTAATTTAGGCTTCCTTTGAAAATTCTCGTAAATACGGACCAAGAATACTTAAATGAATTGAAATAATCAAACGTTACAAATTATTATTATGGTATGCAAATAGGAAAAGCCTACGACAGCCGGTCACCAAAGCATGTAAATGCGTGTCTTTAACCTATTCACGGCGATTGTCGGCATAGACACAAAGTTACTTCTTATTTCCATATTTTAGATTTATTTGTGGGAATTCGGCAGTGACAAGGTCAAAAAAACATTATTGCTATTGCACTGAACTAGTAAATTACAAATGACCTATCACAGAAATTCCTAATCAATTCATTTTTGCATTTTCCATCCATTCCAAAATTTGATGTCACAGACAGATTGGCTATTACATTTTTGAAAATGGCTCTTTTGGAACAGAAACCGACATAAAACTGAACTCTTAGAACAGAAACCTGAGTTATTCAGCACGATATAAACCAGTGGATCATTTTGCCAACTGTTGTTGTTGATAATCAGGGATGTCTAAAACGAATTGAATATATAGTACGCTGCTCAATTTTCTAATTTTGATGACGCCATCACACAAAACTTCGAAGTGAAAAACGAATTCCATAGAGCCCACAGGTGTTTATTCTGTGTATTGAAAGAATCAGATTCCGGATTTGTGGTTTATTATGAAGAAACTCCACCGTTAAAAACACTTAAAACAGAGAACACAGGAAAACACGTCCGACGTCCAACCCAGCCGAGCGAGGAAGAGAGAGAAGCTCTTTTTTTTCGATGGTGGCCGGAGTCTCACAACAACCGGACCCGAATGAAGTATATCCAAATTAAGGGTCCTCGAAAAGCATATAGTCAAATATGAAAAGACAAACTAAAATAAAACACCCGGATAATAAAATCCGTGACACTATTGTACTGGGGAGAATTTTTTCCTTGTTTAGTAAGCACGGTTGCATATTAGTATAATTGAAATTATTACATTTTCTCAGCAAGAAAATGAATATTTATCACTAATAAAAAAGCTTCGAATGCTTGTTATCCCAAGTAAGACAGGAAAAACATTACAATCAAAGTTAATCTTTGATAAAAAACCAACACCAAAGGAACAGACAAATAAAGGGTAAAAACCTATTTAGGACGTAATACTTGTCAAAATGGTAGAAAAAGATTCGAAAGTCAGGTTCGTGTCAAAATTGTGTATCGTCCTCACGATATATTCGCGAAAGGCTCCATTGTTGGAATTATGCTAAGTAATTTATTCGAATCGAATCAATTTCCTCTCAAATGTGAGATTTCATAAGAAATACTTTTTTGAATTTATTGATCAAATCAGGAGTATTTCCACCTAGTTCTCTACACGTCAGGAAAACACAATTAAATCCTTCATTTTGGTTCACTCTTTTGAATCGTTAATGCACTTAATGTAATTCTTATCATGAGTATTATGCAAGTGATATATTTCATCGTAACCAGTCAATTTCTGCAATCCTAGTGCCCGGTAATCATCAATTACGCCATATATGATCGTTGGCTTAGCACCATCCAAAATTCCTCGTCTAATTCCATCTGCAAATATGACAGTGATGGCTGGCACGGTATAATGTTTAGCTATTCCCTTTCCTTTGTACTCTTCTAAAGTTGCGTGATATACTCCATGCATAATGTTAACGTTCAAAAACTCGGCTATGTACGGCATTTTTGAATGAATCTGGAGCTCTAACCATTCATCTTCCCTGCAAAATAAATAATTTGCCAAATTTAATGTTTATGCACTTCAAAAGTCAAATGCGTATGGAATAAAACGCAACTGGTAGAACTCTCAATTTGACTTGCATGACGAAAATAAAAGAATTGTAAAAATACTTCCCTGTTTACTATCAAACGAGAAATTTTGGTAAACCTTCAATTTAATATAAACATACGGGTGAGGGAAGTCTATTCTCACACCCTTGGGTTTATTAAAATATAAATACAGGATAAGTCATAACATTGCTTCATTTCTAAAACAATTGGGCAAATTCATCTCATGTTCGTTTTCTGTCGCGTTAACCCCATGTAACCTTTCTGGCTGGAGAATTTTGTATACCTTAATCAGAACCTGATATATTTATTTCAGAATTTTTTTAAATGTGAATTATCCAAAACTTGATGCTTTAATATTCATAATAGAATGAAAATTTCGTGGGAATTTGTTTTGCAGTCTAGAGATAAAGGAGAGATTATGAATGTGAATGAAAATAAACTGTATTTTCCCAAATTTTTACATCTCATTCTTTTCCCAACCAATGGCATCAAGTTCTCGCATTGGCCCTTGATCGGATTCTGTACGCTTTCCATGTCCATATTGGCAACAACTCCCGTATATTATTTCTTCTCTTCCAAACGCATTTTGCATTTTTACACACGCCAGTCCAGCTCGTCCGTTTGACAATTCTGTCTTAGGTAATAAGAAAAAAAAAACACATATATTATTTCAAGAAAGTTGAATGGTTATAGCGCGGGTAATGGTCAATATGTGACATTAATAAATTTTGTTTCAACTATTCGCAAACTTTCGTTTTCAGAAGAAGTCACTATCTTTCACCCTTTTGTGATTTTGCCTAACTAAATATTGTCAAAGACTTATCTAACGTTCCAAAACTAAACGATTCGGCTAAATTGTATGAGAAAAAAAATTGAGAAAGCCTTGGGTCATTATATTTCGCGAAAAAGCGGGAAATTCAATGCTCGCATCTAGTCAATGAGCCTGGTCATATAGTTACGAGTTTGGTATGGATATCATAACATACTTCGCCGTACAGACTGTGGGTATTACGATATTTAAGTACTCTCAAAACTTCATTCTCACTCAACCACAACAAAATGCCGTTTCACCGAATTACTTTTTTACTGTTTGCTACGAATTGTTGTGACAATACATCATTCTATAGTTTTTGTGATGGTGGTGCTTCTTCAAAATATGGCAAATAGACACTACAAGACTATATAGTAGACAGTCTGCTATTCTATACAAACACCAAAGAAACTCAAGCTTACCTCGTAGTGATGTTTTATATACTTCATTAAAAACGCTTCTCTCTTGACAGGATCGGGGTGAGATCTTACAAACGGCGCTGATTCCTGAAATGATATTACGCAGAGTTCAATGAATTCCACCCAGTCATTTTCATTATCAGTACAAACTTTCAACTGCATTGCTGACACGTTTGGTAATCTGTTACTTGCATCTGGTTTTGCCATCCTGCCAATGGTCTACTACTACTAATTCAACCCTATTGATAATATATTACGCTGGATGCTAGAGCATTTAAACAAATATTTACTTTAGGTCAAATGAAATCGACTGGACATAACTTCTCAATACTTTCGCGAAGTTGTTTTTGTGAGTTCAAACGTTTGCGGGAATGTATTTTCGTGCGAACAGATTTATACTAGAGCGTAGCTTTCCGGTTTGCAGTAATTACATGTCTGCCCTATGTGATTATTTAGCCGATTGTAATTTCTGTGACACGATCGCATTCAAAATTTAAGGATCTTACATTTACACAAAATTACCATTTGAGAACTATTTAAGACAAGACAGCGATTCTTAAATTTATTAACACAAAGAACAAAACGAAGTAGTACGGGATTACTCAAGAAACTGCCGGTACCTTACCTCACCTGACTACCAGAAGCCACAAAGGGCGCACTTTTTAGTTTTATTGACGTCATCGAACACAAAAAACAAATCCCATAGTAATTGCAAATTTTTCTGAAATAAATAAAAATAGGTAGGTTTACCATACGGCTTGCTTTAGGCGGGGCAGTCCCGCTATTTAGCGTCTTGCCCCGCCCTCCTTCCCGACAAGTCAGCCAAAAGTTCCGCTTTGGCGTTCAGCCATCCAGCATTCCTTGCATAATACACGAACATGTTCACGTTACTGTTGTTGCTGTGTATCGCAACGCTAGCCTACTCACTGAAGGTGGATGCGTTATTTTGTTTGTTTCGTTGTTTCCCTCTAACAATGTTATCGAACGTATGACATGTGAAATCAATTCCAGTTGGTCCTGTTCGGACGTTCACGGCAGACTATTTTATAATTCTTTATTCCTTTTGCAGTACATGTATAAATATAAATTCGGATCATTTGTATCGTTAGCGTCTATTCCTTTCTATTTTTCAAACTAAACTCGATATTCAGACAGAGTATACGCACATGAACTCTCGATGACAGTATGGTCAATGACCACAACAGGCTTTAAATGTAGGCGTATGTAGTAAAATCGGCAACTGTAAAGCTACAGGATCACATCTAAGGGGTCGTTGTCTTTAGGGGCGTCCCACTTTGAAGTCACAAAAATACGGTAACCCTACTTATTGTATATGCACGAACAGACCACTACTAATAGATTTTAAAAAGGAAATATACGAATATAACGTAAATATATAATACATGTTCACTAGTATAATTTTTCATGTCGTTTTGATGAAACATTACAGTATTTACAGATAATACTATAGCAATATTTAAGAAACCAATCAGGGATCGAATAATGGGCGGGCGATAAACTATGAATCTAAATTGCCCCCAAAACCATTTTAAATGCCCTATTACTAATCCAGCTAGTTAAAGCTAACGAACCTAATATTTGTTACATTTAATTATTTACGGAATATAAACAATAATTTGACTTTAATTTTATTATTATTACTGAAATCAGTTCAATATTTTGTGATATATATATACTAGCAACTGGAGTTATCGATAAATTGCCTAGCACATATTGGTATGGATATAGACATGATTTACATTTCTCGGGAGCCTATAGTTCCCTATTTCATGACAACATCATAATTTGGTATCGGAATGGGTGTATGCTGCTTTGAGAAATGAAGCTAAAGTCGTTTTCAAGGAAGCACAAGTGTATGAAATAAAACTGTTAATACGAATTCCACATAATTGAATTAAATGTACACGCAACATTAGAATATCAGATATATGGGTGAATTCAAAGGCCATCGAACGATCGGTCCAGAGTTCATTCAACGTACGTAGATTGGCAGGATATGAAATAAGCATTTCTGCAAAAGCAAACGTTAACACGTAGGAATGTCGTTATGCAAAGTCCACTCCGAGAGATTATTTTAATAATGTCATCAGTGATTAAGTAGATAGTCCCGTCCAGCTAAAAAGTCGTTCACAAAAACGTTTGATAAAAAGTAACATTTTTGAAATCATAAAAATGACCAAAATGTCAATATCGTACATTTTAAATTGTATTTATACACCTCCTCCATTCAATTCCATACATTATATTAACATACAGTTAATATGAAGTATTTCAGATATTCGATTCCAACAAATAAGTAGTTTACTGCTGCACAGGCATCTACTAGTATACGGAGCATAGGACGGCCTAGTTTTCGGTCCTACACGCTACCCCGTCAGGTCAAGGCTCATATGGTGATTATGTTTATGTAAATTTATTTAATGTATATGCCTAAAATTTTGGTATGTGTGAAGTCAAATTTGCAAGAGTTGAATGATAGCGTATACAGTTGAGTTGCTTAGTTTATATTTATGACAATTAAGTTTTTTCCGGATCAACAACATTATTGTAAATATACTACATGACGTCTATTTGCTCCTAGATCAAATATTTGGTACGACCCCGAAATCTGCTTGCATACAACAAATATCCACCGCCATTCTAAGCATCATAGAAAAATAATTATTCACCCAAATTCTGAGTAAACATATTCAGGCTTATATTTCTATAGGGAGGCAATCAGTAGAACAAACTGTGCAGCCCTAGGTATCTTTCTGTAGAAACTCACAGGCAGTGAGAAAACATGAAATTGAAGTTAGAACTTTGCACCGACAACGAAGATGACTGGAAGGATTTTATTGAACTTTGTGCAAAATCCTTCCACGACTCCACACCGTATAAAAGATCACATCCTGATTCCAACAAAAGAAAAGCGTTCCTGAAGTTGTATATGAATCATCTATATCAGGTTAGCATAACAGATTTCGTTCACATTCATTATTTAATAACTTTACTGGGATCTATTCCGATGTATCGTTTGCATTTTTTATAGATATGGCATTTTGTAATTTTGTTAACGTTTTCATCGTAATATATGAACCTCTTGGGAATAGAGTAGTACAAAAACTGCGTTCAAAAAGATCCGAAAATACAAAGAGACAGATAAAGGAATGAAACAATTCTTGAAAGCTGAAATATTATGAAATCAGCGCGAATGCACGCATTTCAACAATAGTCCTCAATGATTCATATAATCTTTCAACTGTGAAGATTAAACTATACGCCACGCTCGTCAAAAACTCAACTGTTTCTACGACTTATAGTCCAAGCATTTAGAGTCGAAGTTGGGATGAATCTTATTCAACATGTAGGTTCTAAAATTGGGTTCAAACTTCAGAGCGATAGTTGGTTTTTGCGATTCGAAATTTCAAAAGAGAAAAAGAAGTGTATTGAGAACTATAAAGTTTTTGTAGTAAAACTTCGTTATCCCGGAGTGGTGCTCCAGAGTTGACGACAAAATGCTCGCAAGTCCCAATGCTCCAAGCATAATCGAATTCGAAATCTCTTTTCGGGAGAATTTGGATATGTGATATTTTACTTCTGGTAATACGGCAATGATACCGTTTTTCAATCTAAACAAGGCTTTTATATTCAAAATTCAAGAGGATAAGAATCTGTCTGGCCCTAGGTAGCCTACACTTTAACTAAAGTAAGGTGACAGAGTATGTAGCAAATGACTGCAATCAGCAAGTCCATACTATTTGGTTCTAACACACAAAACTTATCTTGAATATTGTTAATTTGCCATTTTAGTCTGAATATTCAAATGGACAGGCTGGTCTGGTATGTGGAAAAATTCGCAATGCATTTGGAAAAGATGAAATGATTTATGGATGCTGTTGTCAGTATGGATTTGCACAGCACAAAGAATCTGATCAAAGTGAGATGCGAAATATCGATGTCGAAGGCTGGGAAGCATGTCGAAGGTATAAAAAAGGGCGCTCCAGAGGTATGTGCACTAAGACGGCGCACAATCGGAACCCTAACCTGGTACACATACTATGTTCAGGATGTGCGCCATCTTGGTGCACAAACTTCTGGAGGTCCAAAAAAGTCTAGTTTTATCTAGAAACAAAATACTTTTTTGGCAGATCAGCATTCCCATTTTTCTATTTGTGGGGGCCCATATTTTCAAGATGTACCAATACCACTTTTTTCGGCGATACTGTCCCCGATCCGATACAAACAAGAAAACGCCGACTCCGAAATTTCAAAAAGCCGATATTGTGTTATTATCATCTTTTATTGTAAGGGTTCGACGGAATAAATAAGTTGCCAACCTCGTTTACAGCGAACATTATTTCAGCTTGAAAAACAGTTATTCCAGAACATGAGAAATTTATATTTGATTACGGGTCATTAGAATCCATATTAACAGTTTACATTACTCGCATCCTACATTGCTTTGCAAAAATATGGCGTATGCACAGGTTGGTATCAAGACTTTCATTAAACAAATTATGGTAGTTTCTCACAGACGGACCGGCACAAGGAGTCGCGGTGCATGTGCCATATGCTGATCCCACAAAATTGTAGTCATAATAAGTATATTTGATAAGAACTTGAAAGTAAAAAGTAAGAAGTTCATAATACAGCAGTAATAAAACGACATGGTATCCAAAAACGTTAACGTCATAATACCCGTTTCTGCTCGCGAAGGTGGGAAGCGGGCGTGACCCATTGGATAGCACGGTCGGTAAATTTATATGTTATTATTCACTGCACTATATAAACAACAACTGTGAAGAGTTACGAGGCATTGAATGCCGCAAACAAGATCCCTCCCCAACAGAAAATAATTTCAGTTATAATCATCGGTATAACAACTTATCTTTCGAAACATATTAAATCAGATTGAAGAGCGGAATATATCGGTCTATTTTTAGCCGATGTCACAAAAATTGCCGATACCAATACATATCTGTGTATAATAGCGCTTTCGCACTACTTAAATTATTTGGTTTTTAGTAGGAAAAACAGTTTGTCGTTGGAATTAATTGAAATGTATTATCTATAACGCATCAACAAACTAATTTCTAGCGTAGTCAATTGGGTATAATTTCTGTTTTGCAGAGAGGACGAATGGTATGAATTTGCTATCCATTCAAAAATGAACTACATATCGAAATTTTTAAACATAAATATAATGATTGGAGTATCACAAGTAACTTCAGAAGAATACAGAAATAGAGGAATA